AAGGTGGAAGGAAAGAGAAGAAGAGGATGACCAGCAGCAAGGTGGATGGACTCAGTTACAGGGGTGATGGGTGCACCGTTGGGAGACTTGAAAGAACAGGTCAGGGATAGATCATCATGGAGAAAATCTATGCAGTCACTAGGAGTCAAAAATGATTTGATGGCACATAATCAACTAGTCAACCAATCAATCAATCAATTTCAAGCCATCAGTAAAAGATATAATCAAAAGCGTTGCAGAAGTGATAACAGAATTTCATAAAAGCATCAGTACAATCTTCACATGCACAGAGCTACACACAACCAAGAGCGGAAGCTTGCTTTAAGCAAGTAATTTAAAATTAAAATGTTTCCAGAAAATTATGATATGCATTTAAAAAAAAAAAAGACATTCATTTAAAATGGACTTAACTTTTGGGTAAAAAGAAGCTGCGAAAGAAACAGACTTGATGAAAAAGGGTAGATTCAACAATGATACCACCATTACAGTACAGAAACAAAGGCGTGACCTGCGTGCCCTTGTGCTTCACTAATTGATGAGGTATGCAATAAAGTCCCACTTATGCATCTAAAGTTCAGGGAGGAACATATGGAAGGAGAGACACTGGGCCATTTGCATCATATCTCTATCAGAAGGAAGTCCCAGTGGAATTCAGAGGAGCTTACTCTACTTAATATACATGTATACCCTTAAGGCATTAAAAGCAATAACTGCACCATTATTTCCGTCCCCCTCCCCCAGCAACCTCAGAAAGCCAGTTTGCAGGAACTAGAATTGGCAAGATTGTCTTTCCAAGTGGCTGAGCCAAAACACAACAGGATTCCAAACCAGCTAAAACATCTGGATTGGAACTGGCTTGAAATTTCTCAAATATTTTCTGGCCCAGGAAAACATGCTTCTGTTTTTCTATGTTATTCTCAGGGTACTTGAGAATTTCTTCCATATTTCTTTTTGGTGGTGCTTTTGAACAATGGTTGGAAGTGGTAAATGGTGCCCCATGGAGGAGTTTCTTCCAGATGTCTTCTCATGTCATTTAACTGAAGCACTAAAGATAAAGAAGCTGTAGTGTGCTTGAGAGAGGATTTTTCCACAAAAGATAGGCATTTATACCAACACTTCTTGGCCATCTTGTAACTAAGGAAGTACTAGAACTCCATGCCGGGGGGGGGAGAGGCGGCATACAAATTTAATCAATCAATCAATCAATCAGTGGAAATTTCACTGATATTTTTTCCCCCTCCTTTAGAAAAAGGCAATTTCTTGTACATCAAATTGAATAAGAATAGTTTCATTCTGTAATGTCCTAACAAATCTTACAAGATTCAGGTTCTTTTACTTCTTTTCATTGAACACAGCACAGCATCAACCCCATTTATCTTTTGGTTGTTTCTTCTCAGGCTGTATTACTCATCCCCTTCCTGAATATGACCACCCTTAAATGCTTATTTGCAGTCCTCATATCCTTGTTTAGTTGTTGTATCTCGACTTTATCTTACAGCTCTAATTCATGCTCTGCTTTCAGATGAAATCTCTCTAACCACATACTTATCACTCCTTTGGGGCTTTTGAAATAACTCAAGTAGGAGTACCTCAGAAGCCTTTGACAACTTAGATGCACAGTTATTCCATTTATTTTGCTGAAGGTGAGAACTATGATGCCTCTGAAAGAGTCACGAAGCACCCCAGTCTAAAAATGGTCATAGGCACACCCATATCAAGTTCAGCTAAGGGCAAATACCATTTTATCCCCCTGTTCCCTGTATTTATTATTTATTATTTTTGCTTCACAGAATTTTAACCCAGTGAGCATATGGGTTGAAACTATATTTCCTGATTGAAAGGGGAAGTAAAGATAGTTTGAAGAGTGGCTAGAAAGCTTCGGAGCAGAGATCAGGAACTAACCCAGTAGGAACCAGGTCACCTCCCCACCAAAATTTAAAAAATTATTTTTTAAAAAAATGGCCCTAAACCTATGGAGGTTTTGGTGTTGTCAAGCAAGATGTAAAGCAAAACCATAAGAGATTTCAGGTTTTAGTTCTCAAATATTACATGCAAAGGAAGCTGTAAAAAAAAGTATTATTTTTTTGAGTTACCTGGACCTTCATACAAGAACTCACAATGCCGCTCTAAACCAGACCAGTCTGACTTCTGATTTAGAGCAAAGTACAAAGCTCTCTTTGGTGTAACCTAGATTAAATTGTCAGAGTACATTAAAAGAGCTTATTGTGGTTATTTCACAATCATTAGTGAGTGCTTCTTATCATAAAGCCAGCAGCAGGGAGGGAAGAAACATGTATGCCATCAAGGCCAACTTTGAACTTAATACAGAAAATCCATTACTAGAATGACTGAACACAGATGAATTGAATAAACGACTGGATGAAGGACTGGATTCAGAGCACAGATGACTGTCGAGTATTTTCCAGCAAGGGACTAGCTCCTCCCCAGCTCCTCTCAGGTAGTCCTCATTTAACAGCCACAATTGGGACCAGCAACTCTGTTGCTAAGCAATGTGGTCTTTAAGTGAAACAAACACATGACCATGCTTGACCTATGTCGGTTCCACTATGGTCATTAATTAATCACCTGTAGTTGTTAAGTAAGACATCATGTGACCATGACTTGTGATTTTATTGCTAGCTTCTTCATTTACTTTGCTTGTCAGAAGTCAGCTGTGAAACTCACAAATGGTGATCATGTGACCATGGGATGCTGCAACAGTTGTAAACGTGCACTGGTTGTGAAGCCTCCAAATGGTGATCACACGACTGTGGGGACGCTGCAATGGTTGTACGTTGAAGGACCGATCATAAAGTTACTTTTTCAGCACCGTCACAATTTCAGTCACTAAGCAGGGCACTGGTTAACCAAGGACTACCTGTAACTGGTTCCACTGTTGACCTGACCCAACCATCAAAGTTCTGCTACTGTTCAACCAAAATCTACTCCGTAATCTAATCACATTTGATCTAATCCTGCCCTCAGCCCTTCTGGATGTCTCCCATTTTCTGGTCTCCCCCATTTATTCTTCTTTTCTCCAGGCCAAATATATCCAGTTTCTTTAACCTGCCCTATTAGGACTTGGTTTCCCTTTCTCTCTGTATAGTATGGTGGGCCCCTCCTTGCAGGTGGTGATGGGTCTAATTGTGGTTGTTTTTCCTTGGTGTGATGTCAAATACAAAGGTTCTATGCACATCACTGATTGCTGAGTTATGGATCTGGTTTTGTCTTTTAGGTATTATTTGTAAGGCACTTAGGGCCATTTTTGGGACTGAGTGGCCTATAAATTGCAGCCATGAGGAAATAATAAATATCTGCATTGCCATCCTTGATATCATTCTTAGATTATGACACTAAGGTCTGCAAAAGAAATCTGACTTATAAGTATCCATCAGTAGAAAAAGAGTGCACGAGAGGATGGACCCGTGTGCTTGCTGGAAATAAGGGCTGCAATACTTCTTTGTCCATGACTCTCTCTTGGAGCTTGGAACCATGGCAGTGTGTTGCAGTTGCTTCCAAATAGTAGGCTGAGAGTAGTATAGAAGGCTTCCAAATATTGCTACATTTGGGAATCAACTTTGACAGTACACTACTAATCCAGGCTGATTGGCTTGAGTCCTGACTGCAACCAGGAGATGGGACAGTCTGATAAAATAAATTATTATTCAAGCAAAGTGTGGTTAATGCAGAACTTTTCTGTGGCTCCTGGGTCTTGGTGTCCCCCTGCAGAACATACAAGATCCAAACTATAGATACATTGTATGATTATTTCCATTCTCTGGAATTAATTATTACCTTTGCTGGATAAAGGCAGCTATTTGTACATTACTAACATACTATTTCTAAATGTTTCTTCACTGTAGTTGACCACAAATATAAGAAAAACTGAAGATCTTCCTCTGGGTGTGTGTTTACAAATGACTGATTTACTCTCTCATGGCTTAGTAAAAATAGCTGTGCTTTGTGGAAAGAGCCTATGGCCTCAAAGGAGGTTCGTCTGTTATCTAGTCAGCTGACAGGAAGTCTGTCTTTGGCTTGGAACTGCCATTTGAAAAATAATTTGGACGATTAAAGAGGAAAAAAAGAGATCCGTCACAAACAACAGTTCTGAAAATCAGCCCTGGAAAAGTTCCTCTTTCTTTCTTCTGCCTTACAGCTCACATCTTGTCTTTTCAATTAATTATCGGTCTTGCCAGCTGAAAGTGCATTTTAAGTTTCAAGGCAGTCAGCGGCACTTCACTCTTATCCATAGTCCAGCAATTAAAGTTTAAAATGTGGGCCATTCTTTTCGGAGTATTCACCTGCCCATGCAATCAACGGTACTCGGGGGGGGGGGGGCAGGAGAGGTCAGGATGGTGGTTGCGACTGCATGATTGAAGCCTTGCCTCCTTTTCCCATGCATCAAGACATGTGCAAAAAAAGGCGGGGCTTAAGTTGCACAGTTGCAACCACCACCCTGACTTTTTTGACACACACACCCTGAAGACATCCCTGCCTTGCTAAACTAGTTACACTTATTCAGAACATTAGCTTTTCAAAATGTTAACTGATATTCAGCACATTTAAGAGACTAGTTCATATATTCTTTAGCAATATAGGAAAATCCTATGAGCAGCGAAGCATAGATGCACTGGGAATTCTCTTTATTCCTTTGTCCATGCTGTCCCACAGTTGAAGACTGCTTAGAAAGATTATTATTATAAAACAACAAATATTTATCTCTATTCTCTATCATTTAAATCACAGACCAATGGCTTATAACGTAGGGAGTAAGAAAGATGATCTTGGCAGAGATATGCAGGAATTGTTATCTAGGCAAATAAGTCCAGAACAACGAGATAACCTTCAGAAGTGGCTCAGGCAGAAGTCTCCCTAATTCACTGACTTATAAGAAGGAGGAGGAGACGCAGCTCAATCTGACCTGCAAGATTCTGTTATATAGCCAATCTCAATAAAAGTAGTTTTAGCCTTCCTGTGGAACTGATTTCCTGGTCTGGTCTATCTGGTAAGGCTGACATCATCTCAATGAGATCTGTCTGGGGCCCGAGCCATTCCTATATATAAAGAGATTGGTAGATGCTCATGTTTTGCTTTGCAGCAAGCCACTTTCCTGTTTAATTTTTTAATCTAAAAACAGAGAACTTTGCCCTGTTATGATTGCCATCTTGACATATTTTTACCACACCCTATGGACATCCCTGGCTGGAACAGAAAATACAACTGTTACTATACTTAATTCTGACCCTTGTGCTACTGAAGGTCTTACTTTATGTTCAGGTTTAGAAGTTCTGAAGTAGTTACTTAGATATCACCAAAAAAAGAGAGCAAGCAAGAGGACAATGACAAGCATTTGCATATGTTAATTTAGTGCATAAATGTATACACGAAGAAAATACTGCAATTTAAATAGAATAGAAATAGAATACATCTCACCACAGCCTGAGATGCTGTCCTGTAAGAGCTCTTGGAAGTGAGAAGAATCACGTAGAAAGTCGAAGAAACAGCCACTCTGAAATCTATATATATTCACAAGGAGCAATAGTGAACCAATGATTTCTGGCAAATGTTATGTCTTTTTACAAACAATTGTTTCTTGAGAAAGCCTGCCAACTCGCGCAATAAGTATGAGGAACTTTATTTCAGGCCAAGACATTACACTGTGAGGAGACAACACCAACCGATGGGGGTGAGGTCACATTCTACATTCTCTGAGCATGAAGACAGTCACTCTGCCTATTCACTCTCTCTCATTACACACACACACACACACACACACACAACCTGGGAATGATTTTCAAAATGGGGAAAGGGAGGCGAGGGATGAGATGAACCACCCTAGTGACAACCCTCTGTCAGAAACTGTCCCTTTTCCTGAATGCAGCAGTGAGATTATAAACAGCCTCCATTGATGCCAAACGAGGCTCTTTTAAATCCTTGAAGTCAGGAAAAACTCCAGGCACTATCATGCTTGCTCAAATATAGAAAGAGAGATGATGTTCTTCAGGACATTGTATACTTGATGGAGAAGAGATATCCTTCCAACCTTCCAATATTAGGGTGATTTTGAGATAATAAAATGCACAGTATTCACTTCCATGACCCTTCAGTGATAAGCTGTTGTTTGTGATTTAGAAGAACATAAGCACCCACAAATATCAATGAGTCTTCCAGCATCACATCTTTCATGAGTAACTGAATCCATCAATTCCGTTCTAAAAAGATGCATATCCGTCCGACAGAGACAAAATAATTTTTGCCGAATGAATCATAATTTTAGCTGAGATTCATGCATTGGACATTCTAATTTTTTATTCCATGTGTCTCTACACATTTGAATATCTTTTTTAGTGTATTGTAACAACCATTTATATATAGTTATTATTACCTTATCATTTTGTAAATAATATGTTAAATCTTCTAATATTAGGGTTTTTTTAATAACAGTATTACATTTTTTAAAAAGAACAGTAAAAACTAACAAAAACTAATATTGAGAGAAAGACTAAGAAGAAGAAAAAGCAAACTGAAAGAAAAGAAAATGTTAAAGTTCAAAAGTGCAGGAAAAAAAGAAAAGGAGAGAAAAGACAAAGGAAAAAAAAAGGATTGACTTCTGATCCTCCTTGCAACAGATATAAGTAACAATATACATGAAACTCTTACTCTAAATTTAAAACATAACTTCCATTATTTCTATTAACCCATATTATTTCTAATCATCAAATCCATACAACATAAATCCAAAAAAGGTTTCCAGTTAGCATTGAAATTACACAATGTCTTATCTCAAATCAAAGCTGTCATCTTACCATCTCAGCCAACTCCATCAACTTCACCATTCATTCTTCCACTGTAGTTAATGTCTTATTTTTCCACCTCTGTGCATATAAAAGTCTTGCTGCTGTTATCATATATAAAAACAAAGTTCCATGAGTTTTTTCCAACTGTTTATCCATCAAACCCAAAAGGAAAGACTCTGGTTTTGATTGAATATTAATCTTTAAAATCTTCTGTATATAGATATGTATCTCATTCCAGAATTTTTTTGCTTTTTTAGAAGTCCACCAGAGATGATAAAATGTCCAAGAAAGTAAACTGACAGTTCACGCCCTCCGGTGTCTTTCAAGCTGGAATTGCAGGTGTGCGGCA